CACCTCAATTTCCCCCCGAAAATTTTCCCCCATAGTCCGTGTTCCACATTTATTTGCACTTGCTCTGACATGTCCATCTCATTCCGCCCAGAGAAGTAAACATGTACTCGACAAATAAATACGCACCAACACATCTTCATCTGTAGAATAAACTTCAATTCAGGGTATGTGTGGGTCCAATACCCCCTTAAATTGTCTATACATTCGCTCAAGTTTGCAAATATGTAAATATATAATAAAAATGTCCTTTTCGGTGTACTTAACTTATTAAGTACCAATGAAGTCACCTGTGATCTGAGTGGGTGACAGCAGCATTCACTTAAAATGGCGTGAGTGTGCGCGTGTGTTTGTCTATGGACATTGCTTGGACAAATAATGAGAAAGAAGAAAGAAAGAAAATAAATACAACGACTGGCACTCCAGGTACGAAAAAGGGTATGGGGAATATAAAATGATTTGTAATTGTGTTGCGGTCCAAATATTTCAAAATTATACAAAAAGAGTACAAATTTCAGTGAGGAAGTAAAAAGCAATTTATAGTCCATGGAAAATAATTAATTTGCAACATGGTACTATGTAAGTAATATAGAGTATGCTGAATAGAGAACACCTACCGAATAAAATACATGGGAAAAAGGGATTTAGTTCAGCCGTCTGGAATTTTGAAAAACTCCACCAACAGCTACATTTGAAATGTTATTAAGTTCAAAATATCTCTGAAAGAATGAAAAACAGCAAGGAAAGGACAAATTCTTAAAAAAGGTGACTTTATGCTACCTAACACCACTTTGCATATTCTGCAGTTCTATCCATAAGAAATATACTTTGGGAATTTGTTTGATGTATCCAGGGTCTCCATAAAGACCAACTAATGATTGAAATGCCTAATTATATGAATTAATGAGATAATATGAATATAAACCAGTAAAGAAAGTCTTAAAGTCGGGTGGGCCGACTTTATGATACCCTGCACCACTTTGCTAATTTAGTAGAGCTCCACATAACAATTAAAAATTTTTATGGGAGAATTCTATCATACACGCTGTGCTTATATTTATAATTTAAAGTTCAAAAGACTAAATATGCCGAAGCATTTGTATCTTTTAAATTCGGACCTGTATTGTCCATTTGATATATATGGGAGCTATATCCAAATCTGAACCGATCTCGATAAAATATGACAACAATATTTCCGAGCTGTATTTCATATATATCCCTGAATATTGTTGTTACAGAGTACATATTACGGCTGCGGAGGGCTAAAATAATAAACCGGATAAACAATATATAATGGAGCTATAGCTATATCTGAACCGATTTGGATAAAATTTTGCATACTTATTTTCAGGCCTAATTTGGTTGTATGTGCAAAATTCCATACTATTCGGGCAGATATTACACGTTTGGCGCACAATAAAAGGAAAATCGGACGAAGATATATATGGGAGCTATATTTAAATTTTTACCGATTATCTCCAATTTCAATAGGGTTCGTCTTTGGGCCAAACATATGTTGTTTGGAAAATTTCATCTCAATCGGATAATAAATGCGACCTGCATTTTGTCCACAAGCATACATGGACAGACGGACGGACGGACAGACGGACTGATATGCATAAATCAACTCAGAAAGTGATTCTATGCAGATCATCAAAAGGAACTATGGGTCTATCTCGTTTCCTTTTGCCTGTTACAAACAAATACACAAAGACATAATACCCTGACCACCTTGTGGTGTAGGGTATTAAAACTGTGGCCGGGCCGAACGCTTAATACCCACCCCCCTTTGAACGAATTTGGCACTTTTTTTGGAAAAAAAATCCGTTAAAAATTCGGTTAAGATCTTAAAAAGATCGAATGTATATATTATTAGCGTCTATACGACGACATAGAACTGCATATGCAACTTTTGTCGTAAGCCATTAAAATATATTCAAAATCGAAACTTACGAAAAAATTCGGTGAATAATATGGTAAAATCATCAAAATACCGAATTTAGGGAGGTACCGTTATATGAAGGTGAACCTGAACAGACAATTTTCTGTCATAGGATGTAGTATCCATTACGGACTTCAAATACCAAATTTGAAACAATTCGGTGGACAACTTCGCTAAAATCATCAAAGTACCGGATATCAGGTGGTACCGTTATTTGGGGACTATACGAAGACGTGAACCTGCACAGACAATTTTCTCTCATGGTGGAGGATATAAAAATGACATTTTTTACCCTCTAAATGGTATCCAAAAACAATCTAGAATGATAGTCAAAATATATATAGGCAAAATATGAAAAAAAAATCTGCTATTGGTCCATTTCATCACCAGCTACAAAAAAAATTGCACACATCTCCAAGAGCTATGTTTTATTCTTACCTTAACTCTGACTTCATTAAAAATATGGTGAGGATTGGTTGATAATTGCGACCTAAAGAGGAATTACAAATTCAATGCCGTAAAGATCGGTCTTCAATTGTAGATTGATTTTAAATTCTCAGCTCGGTGAGGAATGAAGATCGGCCTACTACATGGTGGCACAAATACGACAAATATTTCGAGGTGTTAGAAGTTATTGGTTGTAATGAAAATTATGATATCCTTAAAACATTTCGTAATGGGCCGGGTCCAGGTCTCACCTGTTTAAGGTTACAGTTAATTTTTCATTTTTTTACGAGAAATACAATACAATGTATGTAGATGCTATAAAATGCATAAAACCTCTTCGCAGGCGCCACATTTTCCCATCTAATTGTATTATTAACCACACACAAAATGTTCACCTACTTTACACACGCAATGTTGCAGACGAATCTAATTTGATTTTTTTTCTCTCTTTCGAATGGCGAAAAAACAAATCCTTGAGGTCACCAGTGTCACAAAAGTCACAATCAGACATAGTTTTTCATGCATATCATAACGGTTCACATGGATACACGTACACACACATGTGTAAACATCAACCATTGTAATATGGCTTTCAGACAAATTTAATTCAATTTTATTATTATTCTCACAAATAAAAGAAACGAAAGCCGAATATTTTTGAAATGGCTTCATTATGCCATCAACCAGTAATTTTTGTAAATTTTCATCGGAGATTGAGGGGACAAAAAAAAAACTAGAAAACACGAAAACAAATATGAATCCTATTCAAATTCTATTGTTATATTTTGAAAATGCGCTAGCAATTGGAATTGAAGTAGACAGATAATTTGGCTATTTTTCATAAAAATCACATAAAATAAATTGTTTTTGGCGGATCGAAATGGGTTTTGATTTCAGTGATTTTTTTTTTTTTTTTATTATTCAAATAATAGATTTAAGATATAATCATATAGAATAAATCAGACGTAAATATAAGCAAATACTGCCATTTTGAGTTCAATTACTTGCCGAAATTTCAAGATACAATTTATATCTTTGCCATTATAATGGCATTTTCAACTAATTATAACTTAAAAAAAAATGTTAATAATATAAATAAAATAAAAAAAAAACATGTAAAAAAGCTGTAAGTTCGGCCGGGCCGAACTTTGAATACCCTCCATCATTTGGTACAAATTTAACAATTTTCAAAAAAATAAAATAAAATAAAATCCGTTAAATATTCTGTAAATATCTTGAAAATACCTAATGCATCCGTATATTAGAGTCTATACGACGACGCGGACCTGCATAGGCAACTTAATATATTACAATATTCAAATGCGAAACTTGAAAGAAAAAAATCTGTTTATAATGTAGCTAAAATCATCAAAATACCGAATATAGGGAGGTACCGTGGTGGTTATAAAACGTGGATCTGCACAGACAATTTTCTGCCATAGGCTGTAGCATCCATTACGAACTTCAAATACCAAATTTGAAACAATTCTGGTAAATAATGTCGCTAAAATTATTAAAATACCGAATATCGGGGGTACCGTTACATTGCGGCTATACGAAGACGTAGAACTGCACAGACCATTTTCTGTCATAGGCTATAGTATTCATTACGAACTTCAAATACCAAATTTGAAATAGTTCCGGTAAATAATGACGCTAAAATCATCAAAATACCGAATATCGGGGTGTACAGTTACATGGGGGCTATACGAAGACGTGGACCTGCACAGACCATATTCTTTCACAGGCTGTAGCATCCATTATGAACATCAAATACCAAATTTGAAACTATTCCGGTGAATAATGTCGCTAAAATCATCCAAATACCGAATATCGGGAGGTATAGTTATATGGGGGCTATACGAAGACCTGGACCTCCACAGACAATTTTCTTTCACAGGCTGTAGCATTTATTACGAACTTCAAATATTAAATTTCAAACAATTCTGGTGAACAGTGTCGCTAAAATCATCAAAATACCGAATATCGGGAGGTACCGTTATATGGGGGCTATACCAAAGCGTGGACCTACATGGCCCATTTTCAATACCAAAATTCCTGCGGACATAATATACATTTGAGTAAAATTTTATCAACCTAGTTCATTTCGTTCGGAAGCTAGAGTGATTTCCACAGACGGATAGATGGACAGATTGACAGATCGCTAAATCGACATAGAAATTTATGGTGATCAAGAATATATATACTTTGTGGGGTCTAAAATGTATATTTCGAGGTGTTACAAACGGAATGACAAACTTAATATACCCTCCATACTATGGTGGAGGGTATAAAAAAATAATGATAATAATACAATTGAGATATAATCATACAGAATTAATGAGAAGTAAATGTAAGCAAATAATGCCAATCTGAGTTCAACTACTTGCAGAGATTTCAAACTGTAATTTATATACCTTGGAATTATATACAATTATACATTATACAATTATACATGACTTAATAAATTTGCAATTAATTTTTTAAACTTTTACATACTATAAAATAATTATTTTTTTTTTTATTTTTTCTATTTCCATATCCTCCATCTGCCTTGGACAATGGCTATTTGTGTTTATGTCTAAACTACAAAACTATTGGAAAATGACAACAGATCGGTACATTAATCATTGATTCGGTGAAAAAACGTGATACTGGCAATTACACATGTAATCCTTCAAATAGCCCCAGTGTGACTGTGACGTTAAATGTTATAAATGGTAAGTGAATGAATGATTGTTTTATCTTCTTCTTCTTTGTTTTCAATATTTACACTTATGCAAACAACGAATATATATGCAAAACCAGAGAAAGGGGGGACAAATAAATAAGTACAGTGGAATATTTAATGGAAAACTTTATTTAATAAATAAATCCATGAGTTAAGGAAATGTTTTCGAAATAGGGTTCTAAATTCATCACAGGCTTTTGACTTTAATTTCATATTTTTTTTTTTTTTAATTTCACATAAAATATTACAAGCCTTGGTGACCTTACATCAGCATTCTAACATATGTGCTTTATAGCAACCTGCTAGAACTGACCTCAAAATTTTGACCACAGAGGGATAGGGAAAAATATTTTTGGATGACTACATGGTCAAAATTCTTGAATATTTTTTTTTTTTTTAATATTTTCCCACTTTTTAAATTATTGAAATTTAGTTAAAGAAAAACAGAAATTTCAAAGCTATTTTGAAAGACATTTTTAGTCTTGAATCGAGCATATTTTTAAACATTTAAAATTTAAAAATGTAGTATTTTATAGGGCTTCCTGGTCGAATTTTGGTGTGGTTGTTTATGAATATTTTTGAAAGACATTTTACTTATTAAATTAATTATTATAAATAATAAATTAATTAATTAAAAATTAGTGTTTGTTTTTAATTAATGTTCTTGATTATTTTTTTTATAAATATTTTGCAAATATTTCCTCGTCAAGGATACTACTTTATTTATTACTACTTATTTATTGATTTGATTTATTTTTTTTTTAATTAATATTTATGATCTTTGATTTATTAAAAAATGACCTGCCTTGCTTATTTTTTAAATATGAAGAAAATATCTTTTATTCTATATATTTATATTTATATATATATTCTTATATTTGATTGGGTCAAGGATTATGTTACACCTCGAAATATTGTTTTCCCACATAGGAAAGTATATATGGGGGTTCCTATCTCGCCGAGCTGAGTCGATCCGGCCCGATCTTCACGAAATTGAAAATATAGGGTGGAATAGGGTCGGAATAGAAGCCTATTTGGAGATGATCGCATAATATGTAGGGGTTGAAATGGACCAAAAACTGAAAAATTTCTGAAAATATGACAGCAAAAAAGTGGATATTCTTTTTCATTCTTTTTAAATTTTTCAGATTTTTTTCAATTTGACTTACAATTTTGAACTGTAAATTTTCTAAAGTTTTTCAACACCCTGCAACACTATGTGTTGAGGATATTATATAGAGGTCGCAATTATCGTCCGATCCTTACTAAATTTTTCACGGGTGTTAGATTTAAAGCCTATTGATTTTTAAGATGTACAAATGGACCACAAAAAAAAATTAAATAAAATTTGAATTGAAATTGAAAACCAATCTACACGGAATGTATCATTTTCTTAGGGTTGGAACTATCTTCCTTCGAGACGTATCCATTGGCTCGGATGACAGAGATGACTGTGCTGTGGGGGAACCGGCACGAGATGTGGAGGAACAAGCGGCAGGGGTAGACATGTTAGAAGGACCCGTAGCTTTATCAATTTCCGCCATCAATTCATCGAAGTCCCTAAGTCCATCGACAAAAACATGAGATTTATTCCATGATACTAAGGAAAAGAAGACCAATTTAGTTATAGGCCGCCTTACAACGCCATTCTCTATACAAACATCAGCGACGCGAGTATGACCTTTAGGACAGAGATAGACGTTTTCGATTCTACCTAATTTCCACGAAGAGGCAGAGTCTGATGTCTAATCACAACGATATCATCTTTTTGAACGTCCCGGCGCGGAAATTTCCAATTATACCACATGTGCAAAGTTTTTAGATACTACTCTTTCCATCTGAAGCAAAACTGATGAACTAACGCCCGAACTTTTCGATACCTGTTCACTATAGACAGAGGTTGTTCAGAAATTAGGTGCTCTGGAGGAGCAAGCAATGGTGTACCAATCAAGAACCGAGCGGGTATTAACGCAACGGTGTCATTAGAATTATCCGACATCGGACAGAGAGGACGCGAGATCAAACAAGCTTCGACTCTAGCTATGATGGTAGCCAACTCTTCAAACATATACCGAAGATTACGACCTTGCTTTCTAAAGTGTAATTTAAAACTTTTTACTCCAGCTTCCCATAGTGGAGCACCAGCAGGAATAAATTGTCATGATATGCCATCAACTGCATAATAAGAAGAAGCAGTTCCAGAACATTCTTGAAGAACCATCCTTAAATTTCGTTCTATTTCTCTAGAAGCCCCAACAAAATTCGTTCCGTTGTCCGAAAATACGAACCGAGGACAACTACGCCTAGCAACAAACCTATGAAATGCTGCCAAGAAATTTGCAACGGTAAATCGGAAATTGCTTCTTTGCTTCTTTGCTTCCGACGAAAAACATACAAAAAATTTTGAATTTTTGAAGTAACCAAAGAAATCTACACCGAGAATTTAGTCTTTGTAAAAAATTTTTTTGAGGACATGAATTGTTAAGTATTTTTCAGAAATCGTGGTTTGTGAAGATAGCTTCTAGAAGCTCATTGTGGCCAAAAATCATTTTTTATGAGATCTTTTCAACAATACCTTTTTCCAAAAATTCTCAATATTTGCAGAAATCTTTCAAGGAATCCTGTATCAAAATGTAGATTTTTAAAATTTTTCCCAAGGACTCAAGGACCTTTTAAATATTTCCCAGAAATTGTGGTTGTAAAGATATTTTCCAAAATGTCATTCCGGACAAAAATCTTTAATTTTATAAGATCTCTTCTCCAAAACTTTGACCGAAATTTTTGAATTTTTGAAGAATTTTTTTAAAGACTTCTCAACCGAAATTGCAGTATTTTTAAAAATTATCTCGAGGTCTTAGGTTTTTTTTTTTAGGGAAACTTGATTTTTATACCCTACAACACTTTGTGTTGGGGGTATTATAAGTTTGATTGGGCCAAAATTTATGTAACACCTCGAAATATTGGTTTCCCACATAGGATCTTCCTATCTCGCCGGGCTGAGTCGATCTAGCTATGTATATCCGTCCGTACGTCTGTCCATATTAATTTGTAATCACTCTACAGGTCGCAATTATGGCCCGATCTTCACGAAATTCAGAATGGAGGTGGGGCTAGGGTCAGAATAGACCCCTATTTCTTTTGGATCGCATAATATTTAGGGATGGAAATGAACCAAGAACTGAAAAATTTCCTCATTTTGCAGTTGCTCTACAGGTCACAATTATAGCTTTGGGCTGAGCAGAAGCCTTCCAATTTTGATGGTCATCGGGTAACATATGTGTTTCATTCGTCTTGCTGATTGAGTCCCTCACAATCGTAAAACCCGGTTATCTTATATAGCTTAGAATTACCTCCGCTAAATTTTATCGAGATCGGTTCAGATTTGGATGTAGGTCCCATATGTTGATTTAATTTTGAATTGATTTAATTTTGGAGATGATCGCAAAATATATTGGGGGGTTCAAACGAACCAAAAACAGAAAAAAAATCCTGATCACACAATTAAAGCCAATCGACACGCACGAGAAGATAGTTAAGCACAGGGAAGAATTCTGGCATTTTGGATTACCATTATATGACCATATTGGGAAAATGTCCCTGGTCACAATGCTAAGAGTAATATCGGGCAGTGCTCCGTGACATTATTTCAAAAGCGAAATCTTCCAAAATTGATTTGGACATGAGGGGGCTTCTCACATTTTGTAGTGTTGTAGGGTATCACATGGTCGGCCCCGCACGACTTTGCTTACTTGTTTTATCATGAATTTCTGACCGAAAACTGCGATTTTCTTATGATTATCTTCAAGGACTTCCGGACTGAAAATCGTAGATTTCTAAAACACATTTTGAAGAATTCATGGGTTTGTAGGGTATTTGAACAATGTAGAATTAACTAAAATTTTGCTAATTTATGAACACTTAAGCAACTCCTAAACGAAAATCATGGATATCTAGAGAATGACCTTTTTGTAAAAAAGTGATGGATTTTCAAAAATCTTTTCCTATTTCCTTTTTGGTTGCGTATAGTAGATAGAAATACTGACAAAAAATGAGATTTTAAGCATATATTCGGAAAATATCCAAAAATTTTGAAATATCGAAGAGTGTCGGGGCCACCCGGGCCGCACTTTTTCCTACTTCGGTGTGGTTAATATATATAAGGTATATTAATGACCAAACTGATACTTTCTAAATTGTCTTGCCAGCTATGGACTAGATTTTAGTCTTTTTTTTAATTGTTCCCACTTCTTCTGAACGCCTTCAATGCACTGTGTAATTTATATGGCATCTATATTGGTCCAGCTGAAGGACTAACGGCCATTCGGTGATTGTACTAACCCGCTGTTTAGTTTTTTCTATCTTTGTTTTGTTTTACAAAAACACAAACATGTGTAGGAACAAAGCCCCAGATGCTGCTGCTGATGATGGTGGTGGTGGTGGCAACTACCAATGGAACTGACTAAATTGGGAATGAATAATGGTGTGATTATTTTGAGAAGCTGAGAAACAGCAACAAAAACTGCAAAAAAAACTTAGATATATGACGTGATAAATGTTCAGTTTTTGCGAAACATGATATGCAGAAAATATTGTTGTTGTTGTTGTTACTGCTGTTGTTTTTGGCATCGTCATCACAGCCATTATCATCATCATTGAAATAGAGGGATATTATTGCAATGTTCACTTTATTGCATTGTCCTTGCAAAAATTGTTGACAATTTGTTATGTCCTTCGAGTTACTCCTGCCTGCCTGCCTGCGTGCACGAGCAATGCAAAGCAATGAGTCGAGCTGTGCTGAACTGCTGGAAATTGATGGAATTCATGTTGGGATTAAATATTTTTCGGATGCTATTCCCAAGTGTGTTATATAAATTGCTGTGATAATTGAAAAACAATTTGTTAAGTGATATGTGAGGATGCATGTGTGTGAGTGTGTAAGAGAGAGAGAGAGAGAGAGCGACAACGAAATAGAATGACAAGCAAGAGTTT